GTTCCTGAAACCAGCGCGCGCTTCGCCCTGGCGGCGCACTAACACACCTGTGAGGGCACGTCGTACTCTGAGCTGACAACTGTGTGCTTAACGGAATCTAGGTAACTTCGTAAAGATGACGTAACGGTCTACGTCACATCCTGAGGATGAAGTACGTACGCGAAATAGTGACCACAAGGGGTCCGCTGACCGCTAGTTGGGTAACACTGTATCTCTTCTGCAGGGCTACAGAAGCCCCACATTGAAGACGCTTGTTTGTTCTACTTAGAGATTAGTAAAAGTTGATCCAACTGATAATTGTTTATATCTTCTTGTCCCAGAATTTCTCTGTGGACTATATTATGGGACACAGCCTATAAGTGTAGAAAGTAGCGACACTTACGTCGCAGGCCGTTTCTGAACATCATCTGCTCAATGACTTGTCTGATTGCCTCTTCTCTGGGCAAACGGATGTCTTCAGCGTGACACGGCTGTCGTAAACCTACATTCTTTTGTTTGGGCAACAGTCCCTGCAGGTTCGGCGACAGGCGAACAGATGGAACCACCTGCTTTCAATATAATGCGTAAATCATGAATTGGCAGTGAAAGTTTGTGTTTGGTTACTGAATCATCAGCCTTTCAGACGTTTCGTGTTCTGAAGTGGCTCAGCAAAACTGTCTGGTGCACAAGTGACGCTCATCACAAGAAGCTGCCATTTATCTGCATGTTAATTTATTTCTAAATAAAGATCACGTTTCGGAGGAACTTCCTGCAACCATCTACAGGGTAGAAGAATGTCCTGGAGCAATTTAACTTCTGACTTGTATTGGGGAGGGAGCTGGGATAGCTCAGTCGGTATAGCGACTGGCTACGGGCTGTAGAACCGAGAGGTAGGAGTTCGAGTCCCGGTAGGGTCAAGAATATTCTCCACGTCGTCCGGACCGGCTCTGGGGCCCACCCAGCCTCCTATCCGGTAGGTACCGGGAGCTATTTCCCCGGGAGTAAAGCGCCCGGAGCGTGAAGCTGACCACTCACCTCGAACTAGTGCCGAAATCAAGAAAACGTGGGTCTATACATCCACTCCCCCATACGTCTTCATGGCGTAATGATTAATTTGTTAAGCACAGGGACAACTTTACCTTTTGTATTTAAGAGCTGTCAGCTTAGAATCTCGTCCGGAACTCTCCTGAAGCTTTTCGCGGTATTCCTCAGTTCCTCCAGGAAGATGCGGGACTGGTACCTCAAATGAGGCCAACACAATTTCCTTCTACATCCTTTCCAATTCATTATTCACTAATTATCCTACTCTATTCCACGCTAAATGAACATGAAAGCAGTACGTGCCTCATAAACGTCAGTAACGACCTACCAGACTACACGGTGATAGCAGAAAATGGAGAACAACAAGTTCTGGGAAGAGCCTGGGCTTCAACCTATATGGTTAGGTCAGGGAGAACAACCCAGCAACATCAGAGTCATACTCGTGCATACTGTCACGGAGTATGTGTGACTATAGACGGGGTATGGATTGGTGACTCGATGTATTGACCACTTATATACTCATGATCCGTGACTACACCTTACAGATCACTGATACACACAGACTGGTTATCCTCAGTCTATTACAGTCTCCACTAGCCGTTTCCTGGCAACGGATTTTAACACAGGAACTATAACAGTCTCACTGAATTACAGACTCTAAATATCACGGGACTTTCGGCTGAGCGCTCTTGCAACTAACTACTTGTCAGAGTCACATTTACTTCACGACTGGCAGTTTGCAGCCAATCAGTTCGTCTTGGCGACAAGCCCCTGAGACTCACGTCACAGTAATTTTATTTCCCATTGCGGTTGTACCCCTTATCTAACATCCTTTCTGTCGACAGGATGGGTCTGTCGTTTATAATTGTTGTTGGTCTCGCCAGCGCAGTCATTCTCAGGTCCGAGTCCCGCGGGATTCATGACCACATTTCTAACTAGTTGCCCTTATAACATCTAGGCACGAACCACACAGAAAATGCACCGTTCCTCTGTTGTACTACTGTTGCGTTCGTGTATTTTGCTGCGGGAACGTGTTTACCGAGCCGTTGCCTAGAAACGGCTCTAGTATATTTGCTTATCTCGCGTTCATTGCATATTAACGGCTCTGCACGCTACAATATATATACATCGACTATGACACAGCTGTAGGGCTAATTGTAGGCCTCCCACAGCGGCGATTCGGGTTCGATCCCTGGGGAGATCATGTGTGATTTGTGATTGACAGTATGGCACTTGGACAGGCTTTCTCCGGGCACTTCACACAATGTTCAGTTTGTCACCAGCAATAAGTGAATGTCTGGACTTGTACTGGGGAGGTATTCGGTTAGAATCTCAGCAGGGACATCGGTTATCTTTACTGAGGTGTTTCGTGGTTTTCTTCGGCCTCTTCGGGGAAATTCCAAAATAGCTTCCTTCCAATTCATCATTCACTTCACCATTGAACAGTATGTTCAACCGCCGCCGACAGCGTCGCCAAAGGACCCATGAGGATACACACACAGAAACGTGAAGTGGATAAGAGCTGATAGCTACCTCCATTGTGGATATAAGTAAGTACAGTATACATCAACTGAGTAGGTTTAACCTTCCCTATCCACCTGAAGACGGAGAGAGATCCAGTCTCCGAAACGTCGTGGTTTTTTGTCATTTATATACCGGACGATGGGTGAAGTCCAAAATAAGCCAAAAGAAGTACAGTATACATGTCTGCGGACAAAATATTACATTTTCTCGTACAAATTTAACGAAGTGAATGGATCAAAATAAAGTAAAACATCAAACGAAGCATTAGAACAACTTTCTCATTTCAAATTTAGACCTTGAAAAAGATCCGTTGCAGGTTCTTTATGTTTCTTCCTCATGAGCGCTCACGACCAGTCCCCTGCAGCACAACAGCAGCGCCCCTGTCGGCAGGACAGCCGAACTGAGCCGAACACGGAGACCGAGAGGAGAGAGAACGTACGCCAGTCGTGCTTTGGACTTGGCACTAGGAGGCGGCAGTGGGTAGATATAGGTATGTTGCAACTTGGCCAGGGAGCAGTGCGCAATTATACAAATGAACTCCTGGCCGAAATCAGCAGTAACAATGCCAAAACAGCTGCTTCCGAATTGCAAACAGAAACGGACTAGAAGAATCGCGATTCATGGTTACAGAATGGTGTCGAACTTTTCTAGTCAACACAAATAACTCTTCATGGACATTTGCTTGGTTCATGCGGAAGCAAGGATCGTGACCAATAGCGAAGAAACTTTTTATATAACGTATTAAAAACGAAGGAAAAGTGAGCAGGATTGAAACAGCGCATTGATGTGAAACTGTGTTACGTGTCTCTGTTAACTGAATGTTATGAACCATCACAACGGTGTTTGCATCGTGATAGTTGCAACGTACATCATCACATTAATGTTCAGCGGGGCCAAAGGTGACGCGGAAAACACGTCTTTGGGGACAGCCTAGTCATAACAGATTTTGAAGTGAAGTCAAGTGATGTGAGTGGACGTAGAAAAGAGCAAAAAGTGGTTACTTAACGGTGGGGGGTGGGGTGGGTGCAGTGATTGATTTTAGTGTCTCGTGGATCAAAGAACACTCGCGCATGTGCATACGCGCGCTGTTGGCTGAGTACCCTGAAAATATCAGTTGATGGGGACACATCTGAAGTGGGTCAACACAGATTGCGTGACCATCAAGATACAGGAAACAAGTGTAAGGTTTGTACCGTCATTTTCAATGTCTGCAGTCTGTGTATGATCTAACATTTCTGTTAATTCTCTGCATTATCAGCCGTGACGTCACACTGACCACGGATTGTGTTGTCTAGTATCTCTTATCGTGTTCCAAGTGATGTGCCCCGCTTGTTCAATGTTCATCAGAGTCCGGTTTATTGTGCGTGTGGGAAGGATGAGCAGTTCCGAGGCTGAAAGGGGTCAGAGTTCTAAACAGAAAACCGTCACGAACAAGCCTGTGTGCTTAACTCTGTAGTTTGAATGCTGTATAGTCACTGGAAAAAGCGTCGTTTGTCTTGACAGAAGTCCAAAGTGTTATGATGCCATAGCAGGAAACCATCAGAACTTCTTATAGAGCAGTGATGACGCATTTGGATGTTGCAGAATTCAGTATTTTGCGCGCAGAGTATATTTACTTGTTCTGTCTCTTCCCCGTGGATTATTTAAAGACGCCTTTTCAGTATCAAGACCATATTGCGCCGGATGATAGACGTACTATAAAAGAAATGGAAGTAATAGGGGCATTCGCCTGAAGGGACTGAGGAAAACCAGGAAAACTATCATTCAAGTCGGCCGGTGGCACAGCCGAGATTCGAACCAGGAACCCCACGAATACAAGCGCAAAGCATTATGTCTAGACCAGTCTGCTAGGTGGTTTTGTTTCGTTGTGAGAATGTGAATATATCTCCTTTAAATTCACGTGTTTCAGTAAATCGGATGAGGTCTGTGTTTTTTGGGTGTAGCCAAGTTCGCGATGAAAAGTTGCAAGAATGCGGCCCGTAACTTCGCCCTGCCTGTCCGTCCGCATGTAGACAGCCCAAGGAATCGCCGGGCGGATTTTCGTTTGATTTTATATCGAGGAATTTACCAAAATTTGGCAGCACATGCCAATTCTGATTGAAATTGGACAAGAGACAGTTAACATGAGAGCCCAAATCCGGTTCTGCGTGCGTTCCCAAGCATTATCACGGCGCCATACTCATTTAATATTTTTCGGGGCGAAAAATATTCGCAAGAAATCAGAAACGAAACGCACGTATGTCGTGCACGTTTCCCGTAAGTTTTACGGTTTTTTAGATCAATTATCAGACAAGCGAATATACGCCAGAATTATCACTACGCGTACATCTCTTGCCTGCATAGGGCCTAATCATCAGCCTCGGAAATCACCCCCACTTCCCGATGAACTTTGATAAATCTGTTGAAGTGTGATGTACAATTTGCTGGGCGTTGCTTGACCAGGAAGTTTCTTGCAGGCATCCTATGGAGGGAGACGGGATGTGACGGATATGGGCGCCAACATGGGCAAGAACTCGTCCCTTTTGGACGCCTTGCCGTCCACCCAGGCGACGCTACACGTCGTGATGCTGGGACTGGACAGCGCGGGGAAAACCACAGCCCTGTACCGCCTCAAGTTCGATCAGTACCTCAACACAGTGCCCACTATCGGCTTCAACTGCGAGAAAGTGAAGGGGACGACTGGACGTGCCAAAGGAATCAACTTCCTGGTGTGGGACGTCGGCGGGCAGGAGAAGCTGCGACCACTGTGGAAGAGTTACACTCGGTGCACGGACGGAATCGTGTTTGTGCTGGACAGCGTCGACATCGAGCGAATGGAAGAAGCGAAGATGGAGTTAGTCAGGACTGCGAAGTCTCCAGATAATACCGGTGTTCCTATTTTAGTCCTGGCTAATAAACAGGACCTTCCTGGTGCGAGAGAACCCAAAGAATTGGAGAAACTGTTGGGACTTCATGAACTGGGGGCAGGAGGCGGTAGTGCGGGGGGAGGGCAGAACTCGTCTTCGTGTGGGGGCGGATCCCCGGTTCACATGTGGCATGTGCAACCCGCGTGTGCCATCACGGGAGACGGACTTCACGAGGGCATGGAAGCGCTATACGAGATGATTCTCAAGAGGCGGAAACTGGCGAAGCAGTGTAAGAACAAGAAGAGGTAGGAGTGTACGCGAGTGCCGTGAGTGCTGTGAGTGTGTTCCAAATGCGTGAGAATGCCGCCGACTTGTGAGGGAATACCAGATCCACACGAACAGAAACCGTCATCTTCAGCGCACGCAGACATGACCAACATTTGTATAACAAAACTGAACATCGCAGAGGTGACTGTGAAGATCACTGTCTTCGGGGATGTGACACCGTGTAGTCTGGTAGGTTACTAATGTTTATGAGGAACCTGATACCTCTCTCTTCTGGGTAGAGAAAGCAAGGCGACCAATCCTCATTTTCCCTGTATCATACACCTTTTTTTTTCGGTCGTTCACCTTACTCTCTTCGAACCTGAGGATGGAGGCAGAAGATTCCTTCGAAATGTTAGTAACTAATCTGACGCCTCACAGCCCAAAAGACAGTGGCTGTTCCTCCAACTCGCAACTTTGCAGTACTTTACCGACGCATTTATGCTTCTCTATCTCGCACCGCCGAATACCAGACTTTCTTTGGGGGGGGGTACTGGCGTTTCGGAGGAACCTTACGCATACATAGGAGCCACTGCTTCTCCAGATTCCGCTAGGACGAGCGTTTGCAGCGCGCCTACCTGACACATGCCTTGAATTTGAAAACGTGAGCAAGAGAAGCATAAGCAAGCGGCCACGGTACTGCGAAGGGATGCGTTTACCATATCCAAACTTAGTTACTTTGTTACGTCTGTTACGAACTGAATGTCTTTATGAATAGTTGCGGTTAGTCTGATGTTATTTAATTCTGTGTTAAAAATATATTTAAATAGTATGACGTGTGAGGTCACGACGGTTTAGTATGGAGATGGCTGTTTTCTGGGCGAATCCTCTGTTTACTACATCACTCATCAGTTTACCGTCTAGAATGAAGATGGAGGAAGCATATTCCTCCAAAACGCCAATAAAAAATACACGGCGTCACATCCCAGAAGATAAGGCATATTCATATTTATTCGTTGGCAAGCATAATCATTTACCATTGCCCCCTTGCGAAGGGACATACCACTGACTGACTGACTGACTGACTGACAGTAATGCACTCAAACAGTACGCTACCAGGCAACGAAATAGTTGGTATAGGTATGTAAGAACAATGGTAACTACAGTATAGTACCACCCGCCTTAATCTCTGCATTCTGCCCACACAGTGTATCTGTGTGTTCCGTATGGTTCTCACAATAAACAGCGACTGTTTCCCTAAACAGCATTAACCGGTTGGGCTTTGTTGTGCAGGCGTAATGTGTTTCCTGTGGGGTACGAACTGAATTTTTAAGCATTCGCCAAATGAAGCCCCTAAGAAAAGCGTCTCTTCTACTACCCTCCCCCCGGACACTCCTACAGGGTCCAGAGTCTTCCATGAGGGCCAAGTTATTTCACCGTCTGTACCGACTCACTGCTTAGGGTGGTGGCTGTGAATATTACTGTCTTCTGGGATGTGACGCCGTGCAGTATGGTAGCCTCCCAGACTACACGGCGTCACATCCCAGAATACAGCAGTCTTATTGGCTTATGTAATTTCTCACAAGTTATACACCATTTGCAGTTGATACAGTGCATGAAGTGACCAGCAGAGAAATTAATGCTTGAGATCCACAGAGCACGACGAATGCCCAACAAGTGGACGCAAGGACCTTGGCAACGGCACGTGTAGCTGTGTCGACAGCTTGAATTACATACGCGTACTTTAGAACGATTATGGACCAGATCGATAAGGGTCACGGAGCCATTAACTTGCGCAGCGTAATAACCTTTAGTGCCATNCCCCCCCCCCCGGCTCTACAGCCCAAGAGGGCGTAGGCCTACCTCCATGAACTTCTCCGTTCACTTCGCTTTTTCTGGATCTTACACGTTCGGTAGGACTCCTTGGGCGGCACACAAACGAAACATCCATGCCCTGAGTGGGATTCGAACCCACGATCCCGGTTTCCAAGCGAGAGAAGACAATACATGCCTTAGACCGCTCGGTTACCGTGACCGGCTTAGTGCCATCTTGCCAGACCCAATAAACAGAATTACAAGTATTTCAGTAATGTAGGCTTACCGTGTGTCTGAAGTTTAGATCCGTCATAATTGCATGATATGTTGAAAGGAAGAGTAAGTACCACTGTTTTGAGCTTACCAACAAATATATAGCAATTCAGTCCGTACCTCACAGGAAACACTCCATAACAACAACCAGCCCGTTAATGCTGTTCATGGAAACAGTTCCTGCTTTTTGTGTCAAAGCGGGCTAGTTACAGCAGACCTAAAAATTTAAATGAGTTTCATTTTTCCTGCAGTAAGGAACAACCCGACGTTTTGAGCGGATCAGACAAAAAGGAGACCTGCAAGTGCACCACTTCGCCCCTTTCACTCGAGTTCTTGTCGTGTTCGCAACGAAAAATTTGCCAGGAAACAGAACGTACCTCTTAACTACGCCACGTGCAACCGCTGAGCGGATTTTCGAGAAAATTCGATGTTTCGGAACTTCACTAACATTGTTCTGACACGGTTACAGTCAAGTAGCTCATCACGTGATGGCCTACACGCGTCTGCGAGTCCCGGGAGCGTACCTAGTCATACATTTATCGGCGTGAAAAATATGTTTACAACAAAAGTTATAGGAAAATGACACACTTTTTATGTTCGGTACTCATTTTTTTTCCTTAAGTCGTACGGGTTTCAGAATAGTTCAAGAAAACTGAAGGAATGCGCCAGAACTGATACACGGTGCATCCATTTCCTAACTTGTTTCCTGCGTATATAGACATCCTTCATAGTTTTCCTCCGTGCCTTCAAATAAATCGTGAGTCCTGAAAGTAAGTCTTGACGAAACGTACAATTCTAGTTCGAAACATAACACTAATCACTCCTTTACAGTAACTCTGAAAGAACTGTTTCCTTTTCTATCTTGAGGGTTACTGCAACCCTAAGTATGGAGTCTCCATGGTAGCGTACCAGACTACACGGTTGCGGTTTCTCGCCTCCTGTATCTTTGGACACATCTATCTTCTGTCTTGTTCCCGTTTTATAAGCAAATTCAGTTCCCAGAATACAAACACACTTTGTTGTCATGGTGACAAGGAGTTCCTGTATGCAAACTAGCGACTATCTTTTATTTTCTGTCGTATTGTTGCCATTGCCAAGTCAGGCTGTCGTAACCCGAAACTCTGTGTTGGAATTTGTTGATGTTCTCAGGTACAGTCAGAGTTAGTTCGACATTTTTCGTGGAAGGTCACGCCTCATTTTTCTCCTTTTAGAAGTAACAGGATTTAAATTGAGTTTTCATTTATTTTTTTGAACCATTCTCACTTTACGTATAATGAGGGCTTATGAAACTGAGAAACTCAAAACTTTTTTGTTAGAAAGTACTGTAACATTACTGCGAATTCAGTTGGATACCTCTTCGTTTGTTACACAAGCTTCCATACTATTAACTTCCCTGCTTTCACCCGTTTTCCTGTCTGGTCCTCCATGTTATCGAATGATACGTCGAGGCCGACGTTTAACGCCGTCTCCCACGAATAACAAGCAATGTCCTTCATAGAGTATACTACTACTCACATAGTCACATCAAAATATTATCAGTACTCAAAGAATAGGCACGATACACCAAAACAAAAGGCTGATCTCTCTTTCGTGACTTACTACATAACTCTAATGTGTTAACGCTCGACGTTTCGTCGCAACTGTGACTCGAAATTACGTTTTAATCTCGCCTTAAATTTCCCTTTTATTTTCTTGTAAGCTTTGTAGGCGGTATATTCGTTAAGTAACCCCGTACGAAGAGTTGCTCAGCCACGCGAAAACTAGGAACACTTTTTGGAACTTGAAGGTTCATTGCCGTATTCACAAGAGCCGGCCACTGGTCTCTGTGTTTCTTACGCAGCGGTAATTGACAAGCTGTGTGTGGTACATTTGCTGCTACCAAACTGTTCATCAAATGCCTAAAATTGTTTGATCGCAGAGTGATGATAGGTGACGTAAGACGGATGTAAGCTGCATGCCATACAATACCAAAGGTGCTGTAACCGGTACTTCTACGCAGTTCGCCCCCCCCCCCCCCCCCTCACTTCGCTTGTCTTTAACGTAATTGTAAGAACAAAAACTGTAATGATTTCTGTATAAATTATTTTCCGTATAATTAGTCGTAATAATGTTTCTGTTATACAGTGATATTATAATGTATATTGATTTTTAGGAACGCCCATGGTGCGCGTAGTGGCCATGTTGGTGACATCTGAATCATATATAATTGGCCAATATGGCCTAATTAGTTGCAGCCAGTTGAGCTACATTCTTCAGGTTCTGGACCGATTTCACTGCCTTACAGTTAAGATAATGGATTATAAAAACATAAACTAAATTTGTTTAAAACTTGGGTATCCCTAATACACTTAGACTAAGTATTATATCACTTAAAGGAATTAAACACGCAACATCCACCACGGCCGGTTTTATGTTTAAAATTTAAATTAGTAGCATGATTTTATGAGACGTATAATTTCATAACAGAACGTTTATTTACAAAATGCAGCGTTGTTTCGACACGATTTTTTAATGACTTGCTATACAGTAGTGGCACAGAGAAATCTCTCTAGAATCTCTCAGACGCGCATAGTAGGATAAACCTAACCAATATCGTGATACGTCCCCCGAAATTCGCTACGGTGCAGCCATCTGTGAAAAGGTGTTAAAACTAACTGTGAAACTCGTGCCTACGTTGAGACTATTTCAGTGTGTAGTAACGACGAAATGAAGGTTCTCAAAACCTTTTACGAGCCGCGGGTCAGTAGAAACACACCACACACTCAAAGGACCCCTAATTCCCCCACGTCAACTTAAAACAGATCAGTTTAAAATGATTTAATGTTTGTACAATGCATACAAGAAGTTTAATATCTGTTATTTGAGTCAGACATTTAATGATAAAAATGAAGAAGTCACGACTGTGCATTTAGCATAGAAACCTGTATGCAGTTTCAAGCCCAAAATTTTTGTAGCGACATTATTCCAGATAAACAGACTTTTTTTTTTTTACAAAGATTGGGATTCTCACAGCGGTGATTATGAAATGTTCTATCTTCTGCGATATAACGCCGTGTAATCCGTTATATCCCACAACATAGAGAACCCATCACATTTTGTAAAATATCCTCCTGACCAGGCTACGTGGACCACAGTTTGAGAACCACTGATCGAGACGCTGAAGCGTCGGGTGATGAATTGGAAAGGATTTTAAAGGAAACGGTCGTCGCCTAACCGAGATACTATCCCAGCGACTGACCGGAGGGTCCAAGGGAATTCACTAGTAACATCCGTCAGGTTAGCCAGTGGCCCGTCCCAGAATCGAACCGAGCGTCTCCCTAGTACGGGTGTAGACCACAGCGTGAAACGGCGGCGACACGAACTTGGTTAGGTTTGCTCTGTATCTGGATTATATCACTGAAATACATATATACACGTATATATATGTGTTAATGTATACATAGCTGTAAGTGCCATGCAAGGAACTTTGATTCTAAACTTATTCTGACACAGACCAAAGAAACTTGTGTACAGAGCAGTACGAATGCGGAGTCCCTGTGGGACACTGCGAAAATTGTCCCATCGTTTCATCCGGAGGCCCGCTTTCCACACTATTGTTATAACGTGAGTGTTAGAGTGTACTGTGTACATCAATAGCAATTTGTGGAGAACTGGGTTTGAAGCCCGGGAATCAGCTGCAGTTCGGATGGGACTCACACAGTTGCCAGAGAGGCAACCCGCAGTGCAACACGACAAGGAGTAGCAGGG